AGGCACTGCATCGCAGTGCTAGCTGTGCCACTAGAGATCCTGGTTTGAATCCAGGCTCTGTCGTAGCTGGCCGCGACCGGGAGACCCATGGGGCGGCGCACAATTGGCCCAGCGTCGTCCAGGGTAGGGGAGGGAATGGCCGGCAGGGATGTAGCTCAGTTGGTAGAGCATGGCGTTTGCAATGCCAGGGTTGTGGGTTCGATTCCCACGGGGGGCCAGTATGAAAAATGAAAAAATTATGTATGCACTCACTAACAGTAAGTCGCTCTGGATAAGAGCGTCTGCTAAAAATAACAACAACAAAAAAAAAATTGTAAAGCTCACTGCCATTGGACAAATCTGGGTTTGGCTGATGCCAGGAGAACGCTACCTGTCCCAATGCATAGTGCCAACTGTAAAGTTTGTAGGAGGAGGAATAATGGTCTGGGGCTGTTATTCATGGTTCGGGTAGGCCCCTTAGTTCCAGTGAAGAGTAATCTTAACGCTACAGCATACAATAACATTCTAGACGATTCTGTGCTTCCAACTTTGTGGCAATAGTTTGGGGAATGCCCTTTCCTGTTTCAGCATGACAATGCACAAAGTCAAGTCCATACATAAATGGTTTGTCGAGATCGGTGTGGAAGAACTTGACCTTTGTGAGGGAGAGAAATCTGAAAAATCTGTTAAAGATATGTGTGTTTTTGATAATGGAATTTCAAGTCACAAGGCAATGTTGCTTAAACTTACAGAAGGAATAAAAAAATATCCTAAACTAGATACAGTATAAGTATTAAAATTAGTTGGCAGAGGTCTTTACTTCAACATCATTGTGTTTTGATGTATTTTTAATATCTTCTAAGACTTTATCTTCTGGTAGATGTTTTCTAAGACCTCTCCTTCCATCTGTTTGATAATAAATCAAAGCCTTTCCTTAGTCCACATTTTTTGGATGGAAAAATGGTTGAAAAGTGTTTATATGTCTTATTAAAACATTTAAAAAATTGACTTAGCTTTAATTTGACACCCAGTTTTACATGCTCCTATGAACTTCACATGTTGGTGCTCATGGGTCCTTTGACATGAAAATGACTGAAAATATGATGGGAACTGGAGAGTCCTGTGTGCATAAATTATCACATTTTCTAAATAATTACACAAGATTGAGGACATTGCATTGGTGCTTCACAAAACTTTTCTCAATTCAACTTCAATCAATTCACCCATGCACAACTTGCCAGGTGCACAGAAACTCACAAACAAAAAAAACACACCCTACAGGAAACTAACCCCTAAAGGAAGATTAGTTAAACTAAAAGGAATCTAGGCTAACTCAAGATTACGGGCGTCACTCACCAGTTGGGAGGAGTACATGCTGTGACAGCTAACAACAACAACACAGCAACATGTGCTGCCTGAGAGGCCAAACGCCACCGTGCAGGAGAGCAGAGCCAGCATGATATGACACGGTTTGACAAGTCAGAATGACAGGGTTCAACGAGTAGAGCAGCTCAGAGTCCCATTATATTTAGAGCTGCTGTAACTGTGCTGTCCGTATTCTCTCTTTACAGAGGGCTGGCATGAGAGGGACAATGTCTGTCAGAGAAACGGAAAGAGGGAGGGAGGGAGGGAGGAGTGGTATTGACAGAGAATGTGTGAGAGACTAATTGGCTAAAGGTTATATATGTATACTATGTGTGTATACTGTGTGTGTGTGTGTGTGTGTGTGTGTGTGTGTGTGTGTGTGTGTGTGTGTGTGTGTGTGTGAGAGATCAGGAACGGACTGCTATCCCACTCCCCACTGACACAGAGTTTTGATTTCTACATATCTATAGCAGCACTGTCTTTGTGCCTCTGCGTAGAGTACAGAGACACCGTATAGGCGATTCCTGTTGAATTTGCATGATGTGTTTAGTTCACCTACATTCCGTGTTTGCTGCATCCCACAGAAAACTGAGCCAATACATTGGTCTTGCTCAACTGGTTTTGAGGAGGTTTCTTTTCAGTGTTGCCGACCAGAAATACATGTTTGGCAGTTGGGATTTAAATGACAGAAATTCTGAATGAAAATAACGGTTTTCCAAGTACAGTTGAAATTCTCAACACGCATGAATAACTATGAATCAAATCAAGTCTGTCAGAATTGCACTTCAACAAACCTTGGCTCTGCCTGCCTGACTGCCGACGCTATCCATTTTACATTTTATCCCTGATCGAAAAAAGCCCATTCAAGGCCATAGCCTAGCCTATACTTTTTCCTATGCAATCTGTGTCTCAAATGGCACCCTATTCCCTATATAGTGCACTACCTTTGACCACAAGATCCTCTAGTCAAAAGTAGTGCACTATATAGGGAAAAAAGTGTAATTTGGGATGCAACCTAAAGTGTGACTAGATTAATGAGAGTAGCGTGGTGGGATAGGATGCTTCATCTTTCCCATCTTTACTGTCTATAGCCAGCCTTATAGACACAGACTCTTGATGTATCACCCAGCAGTTCTATCTGTCAGCAGGGAGGAGAGGAGATAAGGTGGAGGAGAGACAGCAGCGGCAAAAGGACAGGAAGTAGGGAGTGTTGAGAGACGCTGACCCACTGACTACTCTGTCTCTGGCTGCATCTCAAATGGTATCCTATTCCCTAGTGCACTACTTTTGACCAGGGCCCAGAGGAGATAGGACTCAGCCTCTGTGTCTGTCGCTAGTGTCTCAACCTTGGTGCTGCTCCTGTGTTTTGACAAGAGCCTGATAATCATGTAAGTGGCCATGCCCTCCCTCCTACTCAGACCAAGGTCAAGAGAGATAGAACACAGAGAGGGAGAGAGAAAGAAAGGAGGAAAGAAAGAGAAAGTGAGGCATAGGCAGAGGATGGAAAGGAAAGAGAGAGAAGGAATGGATGGAGAGAGAGAGCGAGAGAGAGAGGCCAGAGAACAGGGAGAGAGAGGATGATCAGCTCTCTACAAGCCTGCCCTACTCCCAACCACAGCAGACCCAGAGAGTGAGAGAGGGGCCATTGTGGTGTCTAGTCCTGCTGGATACTGCTGCCTGGGAAAAGTCAACAGATCAGGTGTGCTGGATTCAACTCTGCTTAAATACCACTTCCATGTGCTAGCTACTAGCTAGACTGTCTGCCTGGGCATTTGCTGGATAGGAGATGGTCACCAGAAGAGGTGGATTCTCTGGTGTAAAGTCTCACCTGATTGCGAGAACAGAAATATTGACATTATGATATTTGATGTTTTGCACCGTATATAATGTATTCTTCCAGCCGTGGCCTACACTACAATGAAAACAGATCCAACTACTTTGATGAAAAACGTATTACTGATGCAGTACAACAGACCTTGCTAGCCTATTTCCTGCCCAGTTAAATGTGTTCTCCAGGGCTGTGTGGCTGATACAGACCTAGACCTATATAGCTAACTCTGGAATTCAACGCTCCTGAAGAGCAGTTGCCAAGTGGTTTTCTGTGTTAGATTAGGGTCTGACGCTAAAGACAAATGAGATATTTTACTATGTCATGGCATGATGGTAGTCACTGGTCAGGGGCTTTATTGTACTTTTGACAAACATAGCATACTAACAACTAACACGCCTGAAAAGCTTTCCCATGGATGTCTCTCTCTCTCTGGTGTTCTGACTGTGTGTTAACACTAACCCTCAAGCTCCTCCTAAACAGATTGGAACAGATTTTGGGAAATCAGAGAGAGAGAGAGAGAGAGAGAGAGAGGGGCGCACGCTGCACTGTCAAAGTGTCAGTCTAACTGTTCTTTATTGGATTGTTCTCTACACTACACTGCAGCATAGTAGCTTCCGGAGACCGTATAGGCTAGTGTTTCTCCAAGGATATGTCCCAAATGGCATACTATTCCCTATACAGTATAGTGCACTACTTTCAACACACTATCACAGCTTATTGTGAAATACACACGAATTACTTATTTGAAATTTGTGACAAGCACACGAAAAAGTCGTATTACACCATTTTCTTCATAATGCATTTAGTCTGTATTACACAATTTTCTTTCTTCATAACACATTCGTGTAGATTACACAAATTCCAATTTGTTGTTGCTAACGTTAGCTAGGCAGCTAACGTTAGCTAGGCTAGGGGTTAAGGTTGGGTTGGGTTAGGTTAGGGTTAGCTAACATGCTAGCTAAGTAGTTAAAAAGTAGTAAGTTGATGCAAAATTGCTAATTAGCTAAAATGTTAAAGTTGTCCATGACGTGATTCGAACATGCACCGTTTGGGTTGCTAGACGGTCGAGTTATACGCCCACCCAACATCCCTGACCAACCTCCCTCCTATCGTTTCGTTCTTAAGTAACACTGTCTTTATCTGTGATTGAAATGCACTGTATACAAAATTGTGAACTGCAAACAAAACAATATACTTTTTCGTGTGCCTGTCACGAATTTCCAATAAGCAATGTGTGTCCATTTGACCAGAGTCCTGGTCAAAAGTAGTGCACTACATAGGGAATTGGGTGCTATTTGGGACTCTGTTTGACCTTGCAGTATTTGCTTGGTCATTGGAGTAATTTCAGACTACAGTCCTCTCCTCCTCTCAGTCCTCTCTCTCCTTAGAGTCAGGCCCTGGAGATTCCGGCTGTGTGTGAAATGGCACCGTATTCCCTTTATAGTGCACTACTTTTGGACCCTGTAGGCTCTGCTCAAAAGTAGTGCACTATATAGGAAACAGGGTGCTATTTCAGACACAACCTCAGTCTGCCCTGAGAACCAACCAACCAACGCCTGGCATCATCTGGAAGACCAGCTAGCTACACCAGCTAACAGCCTGCCTGCCTCGCTGCCTTCCTTCCTTCCCCCTTTATTGAATTTGTTGATTTTCCCCTCTCCTTTTTCAATTTCTGCTGAGCTCCACCATTTGTATTCCTCAGGCTGGCAGGGCGGTGCGGTGGTGAGATAGACGGCGGGCCTAAAAGGCAGCCATTTGTAAAGCCGTTAACGCCGCTCTCTGAGGAGAAAACACAAATTGTTTGTGAAAGAAAGCGTCTGGTGATCTATTTCTCCTCGTCCATTTCTTTGTTGAGCCGCTGATAAATGGTATATGGCGTTAAAATAACGGTGGTGTTACTAGAGCTGTGCATACCCTCGCACTACTCACCACTATCCTGTTCTAAGGGCCTCCGCTAAGGATATCGAGTTGTTTTAGTCCACCTTGGTGAGGTGGGGCAACTACTGGTTATGAATTACTGTGAGTCATTTACTTTTAATCCAACAGGTTGGCACTCTTAAATCCCTCTGTTCTCCCTGCCTCAAAGGTTTTTAGTAGGCGAGGTCTTGACATGCCACTGGCTGGCTGTGTGGGATCTGACTTGGCCCAAGCTGCATCCCAAATAGCACCCTATTCCCTAAAGTGCACTACTTTTGAGCAGGGCCCATAGGGCTGTGGACAAAAGTAGTGGACTGTATAGGGAACAGGGTGCCATTTGGAACACAGTGATAGTTGTGTGTTCCCTTCCTCATACCATTCCTCTCTCCTCCTGTATTAAAGGCACGGGTGTGCTGTTATAACATGTGCCTGTGGATAGGGAGGACGGACACGTGGCTTTTTCTTTTAAATCTTACTGTTGCTTGAGGAGATAAATGTTCCCTTACTTGTTTTATTCATTCTTTCAGAAGAGGGGGACAGGTTGATACATGATGCTGTTTAAGACAGGGAGAAGATGAGTATGAAATGGGTCAGAGAGAGAGAGGTGTACTAACTGTAGATTCTGAGGAAGTGGAGCAACAGAGTTGGCCTGTTTTCTGGGTCTCTCTCTCCCTCTCTCTGTGCAGTAAGGCCCAGGCAGGCCGGTTAAAATAGGAACTCTGCCTGCTCTGCGATGATCAATGACTCTCTCAGGGGAGTCCGACTACGGGCTTCTAAGCTAACCCACATTAGCCAGCCAGCCAGTACTGAGTTGTTGGTGAGAGAGGGAGAGGCTGCGCTGCAGACTGACCTACTCTCACACTGCAGTGCCTCTGAACACAGATAATGTCCCAAAGGATTAGGGCTGCTACCAAAAGGCTCAGAGATGAACTAGGCACAGAATGGACACTGTGTGGTGCAGTAGCACCATAGAAGACTCACAAGGATCAAGAGGAAGAGGAGAATGAAGGCAAGCCTAATAGAATAATCTAGTAATGTGATCTAAGATTGAGTCATGCACTGACAGTCAGGGGTAAGAAGGGGTGAGGAGATTTGACCAGGAGGGACCTGACAGTAAACCAATCAGACAGCAGACACAGACAAGTCACTTTCTGAGCTGAGTTCTGTGATTGAGTGTTACTGTTTCTGTCTGCAGCTTGATTGACTTGGTTTTATCTTTCAATCACAAAGGCCTAGAATTTCAGACAGCCTAGAATAGGGATGGGCAACTTTGATGGGGGTGGGGGCCACAAAAAATCTGAACTCATCATGAGGGGCTGCTGTGGCTCACGGGTCTGCGTACCCACATCTATACCACACATGCAGTCAGAGCCAGTCGTAGCCTTTTGGGGGTCCTAAGTGACATTTTGTTGCTAAATTACCAATCTAAAAAATGTTAGCTGACATGGGCTAGGCTAATTGAGTGATTACAGAAGAGAAAAACTGCTGATGCACAACCAAATTTCGAAATTGCACCTTGTGTATTCTACTATGCTAACTCAACAGTAAGTTGAGACCCCGACTGAGTTCCTAAACAAATATTTTTAAATACATACAGTACCAGTCAACTTTGGACACCACTTTGGATGTAGCTCAGTTGGTAGAGCATGGCATTTGCAGCGCCAGGGTTGTGGGTTCGATTCCCACGGGGGGCCAGTATGAATTTTTTTAAAACAAAAAATAATAATAATGTATGCACTCACTAACTGTAAGTCGCTCTGGATAAGAGCGTCTGCTAAATGACTCAAATGTAAATGTAAAATGTACTCATTCCTGGGTTGTTCTTTATTTTTACTTTTTTACTTTTTTCTACATTGTAGAATAATAGTGAAGACATCAAAACTATGAAATAACACATATGGAATCATATATTTTATATTTGAGATTCTTCAAAGTAGCCACCCTTTCCCTTGATGACAGCTTTGCACACTCTTGGCATTCTCTCAACCAGCTTCACCTGGAATGTTTTTACAACAGTCTTGTAGGAGTTACCACATATGCTGAGCACTTGTTGGCTGCTTTTACTTCACTCTGTGGTCCAACTCATCCCAAACCATCTCAATTGGGTTGAGGTCGGGTGATTTTGGAGGCCAGGTCATCTGATGCAGCACTCCATCACTCTCCTTCTTGGTCAAATAGCCCTTACACAGCCTGGAGATGTGTTGGGTCATTGTCCTGTTGAAAAACAAATGAGAGTCCCACTAAGCACAAACCAGATGGGATGGCGTATCGCTGCAGAATGCTGTGGTAGCCTTGCTGGTTAAGTGTGCCTTGAATTCTAAATAAATCACAGACAGTGTCACCAGCAAAGCACCCCCACACCATCACACCTCCTCCTCCATGCTTCACGGTGGGAAACACACATGCAGAGATCATCCGTTCACCTACTCTGCGTCTCACAAAGACACGGTGGTTGAAAACAAAGATCTCACATTTGGACTCATCAGACCAAAGGACAGATTTCCACCGGTCTAATGTCCAATGCTCGTGTTTCTTGGCCCAAGCAAGTCTCTTCTTCTTATTGGTGTCCATTAGTAGTGGTTTCTTTGCAGCAATTCGACCATGAAGGCCTGATTCACGCAGTCTCCTCTGAACAGTTGATGTTGAGATGTGTCTGTTACTTGAACTCTGTGAAGCATTTATTTGGGCTGCAATTTCTGAGCTGGTAACTCTAATGAACTTATCCTCTGCAGCAGAGGTAACTCTGGGTCTTCCTTTCCTGTGGCGGTCCTCATGAGAGCCAGTTTCATCATAGTGCTTGATGGTTTTTGTGACTGCACTTGAAGAAACATTAAAGGTTCTTGAAATGTTCCATATTGACCGACCTTCATGTCTTAAAGTAATGATGGACTGTCATTTCTCTTCGATCATTTGAGCTGTTCTTGCCATAATATGGACTTGGTCGTTTACCAAATAGGGCTATCTTCTGTATACCACCCCTACCTTGTTACAACACAACTGATTGGCTCAAACGCAGTAAGGAATGTTTTGGTTACTACATGATTCTACAATGTAGAAAATAGTAAAAATAAAGAAAAACCCTTGATTGAGTAGGTGTGTCCAAACTTTTGACTGGTACTGTATATTTTTTGGGAAATTGATCTGTGGGCCTGGGTCGCCAGGTGCCCATCCCTGGCTAAGAGAGTGAGATTCTGAGATTTTCATAGACGTCATCATCATCAGCCCCAACTGCTAGTGTCACTGGTTCACTGCCACGGGCATAATGAGGAAGATCCATCTTACTCCACACTCCAGAGGATCTGAGTCCCAAATGGTACCCTATTCCCTACATAGTGCACTAGTTTTGACCAGGGCCCTCGTCAAACGTAGTGCACTATAAATGGAATAGGGTGCCATTTGGGAAGCAGATCTTCTGGAGTGTGGAGTGAATGAATTAGAGGCGTCAAGCTGGAGCGTTAATATGACCACACAAGGTCAAGGGTCGCGGGATGAAGAGACTAGTCTGTTCATCGGTCCGCAGTGAAATAAGGGATATCCCATGATCCTTAGCTCTGCCTCAGCACCGATTGGCCACTGGATGATAGGTCTTGTATAAGGCTGTGATGTCTAGTCTAGATTGTGTGAATCTGCACTTGAAACTGGTATAAAGACCAATGTTAGAGTTCGATTCATAAATGTTGTTCACTGATAAAGACAATCTAAAAGAATCATAAAAGGCAACTAGGCTTTTGAAAGCATCCACAGAGCCCTACAGGCCCTGGTCAAAAGTAGTCAGTGTTTTCCCTAAGTACATGAAGTACAGTGTTTCCCATAAGTGCCAGTGTTTTCCATACTTTTTCCACGTCATAAATTAACTAGGCTTCTTTTAACTTAAACGTCAGAAAAGTCTGTATAGCCTTCTCCTGCTAGAATGAACGATATGCATCATCTAGTGATCTATTGCTAGAACAGGTGCTTGTCAGTCACAAAGGGAGCGATGACAGGAAATACTGCTGTCTGTCCCACCTCTCAGCACCTATGTTATTTTTGTGCGCTGTGGTAGAATTTATTTTCATGAAGGGAGAGCATGATGCTTCTTCATCGTCTCCTGTGAATGAATTTACACGTCCCATGTAATGTAAGTGGTAACGATGAGTTGAAATCCACGTAATTATTATTTGGTGGCACATTCATTTATTTTCTTTCGCGTGTTTCATATAATCAGCCACGGAGTTGGAGCGCATAGGCTACTTACTGTGCTTTGATTGACGACCGAACAGCAAGTGTGACTAGTTTAAAAAAGGTGTCGAACTGACCGAATAAAGTCAATATCCTATATGCCTTTGCTATCCATAAATCATACAATGTAGTTATATATGTCCATGGCATCGCATCGGGACAAGTAAACCAAATATCTTGTTTATATTTTCCTAGGATTTGAAGCCCATTTCGAGACTCGCCAGTGGCCGCTAAAGTGACTCGTCAGTGTAGCCTAGTGACGGTTCTTTTTGAGCAGGTCTTTTAGGTGAACATCATGAACCGAATCGCATCGGTGAGAGAGACGCTCATTTGGCTACTTCTGCTTTTTGGTGATTATCTGCATCAAATCAAATATTATTTGTCACATGCTTTGTAGACAACAGGTGTAGGCTAACAGTGAAATGTTTACTTACGGGTCCTTTTTCAACAATGCAGAGTTAAAGATAAGATAAAAAATAACACATTTAAATAGTGACACAGTGAATAACGAATAATAACGAGTAAAAATAACATGTATAGGGAGTAGAAAATAACATGACTATATACAGGGAGTACCAGTACCGACTCGATGTGCAGGGGTACAAGGTAATTGAGGTAGCTATGTACTTTACATATAGGTAGGGGTAAAGTAACTAGCAGCAGCGTATGTGGTGAGTGTGAAAGTGTGTGTGTGTGTGTGTGGTGTCAGTATGCATGTGTGTGCATGTTGTGTTGTGTGCGTAGGCGTATGCAGTGTGTGTGTGTAGGCGTATGCAGTGTGTGTGCATGTGTTTGTGTGTTGGGGTGTCAGTGTAAGTACAGTGCCTTGCAAAAGTATTCATCCCACTTGGCGTTTTTCCTATTTTGTTGCATTACAACCTGTAATTTAAATTGATTTTTATTTGCATTTCATGTAATGGACATACACAAAATAGTCCAAATGGCCTAGTCAAAGCCAAGACCTCAATCCAATTGAGAATCTGTGGTATGACTTAAAGATTGCTGTACACCAGCGGAACCCATCCAACTTGAAGGAGCTGGAGCAGTTTTGCCTTGAAGAATGGGCAAAAATCCCAGTGGCAAGATGTGCCAAGCTTATAGAGACATACCCCAAGAGACTTGCACGCTCAAGTTTTCAGTTTTTTTGGCTTATTTCTGGTTTGTTTCACAATAAAAAAATGTTTTGTATCTTCAAAAAGTGGTAGGCATGTTGTGTAAATCAATTGATTTAAAAAATCAATTTTAATTCCAGGTTGTAAGACAACAAAATAGGAAAAATGCCTAGGGGGTGAATACTTTCACAAGCCACTTTATGTGTGAGTGTGTGAGTCCAGTGTGTGTGCATAGAGTCAGTGCAAGAGTTAGTGCAAAAAATGTTCAATGCAGATAGTCTGGGTAGCAATTTGATTAGCTATATAGCAGTCTTATTTATAAGTCTTATAAGTCTTAAATATAGACAGATTCCACACTGAAAATATGCAAAATCATTACTTTGATCCATTTGACATTTCCAAAGAACAATCAGAAAAAACTAAATCGAACGTCTGTATATCGAAAAGAGATTTTGGTTTGAGCCCCGTTTCAAATGATCACTCTTTGAGTATAACTGTTCCAGGCATAAGAGATGCGTATCACTGCGCACTGGCAACATTTTTCATTTGGAAAAATATTCTGTTATATTACATCAAGTTTTTATTTACAATAAAATAGATCCGACTTGACTGTGGGCTCGGGAAATAAGAGTGTCTTGTCTGCTAAATTAACAAAAACAAGGCTATGCCATTGCACAGCCATAGGCTTCTACAAGCAAGCGCCACTGCTGAGGTCACTGCCTTTTTGAAGATTGTGTTCCACAATATAATATAACCAGTTACTAATCTTTTTTATTGACTGAATATACAGTTGAAGTCGGAAGTTTACATACACTTAGGCTGGAGTCATTAAAATTCGTTTTTCAACCACTCCACACATTTCTTGTTAACAAACTATAGTTTTGGCAAGTCGGTTAGGACATCTACTTTGTGCATGACACAAGTAATTTTTCCAACAATTGTTTACAGACAGATTATTTAACTTATAATTGACTGTATCACAATTCCAGTGGGTCAGAAGTTTACATACACTAAGTTGACTGTGCCTTTAAACAGCTTGGAAATAGTACGCAAGTATAAACAACATGGGACCACGCAGCCGTCATACCGCTCAGGAAGGAGACGCGTTCTGTCTCCTAGAGATGAACGTACTTTGGCGCGAAAAGTACAAATCAATCCCAGAACAACAGCAAAGCACCCTGTGAAGATGCTGGAGGAAACAGGTACAAAAGTATCTATATCCACAGTAAAACGAGTCCTATATCAACATAACCTGAAAGGCCGCTCAGCAAGGAAGAAGCCACTGCTCCAAAATCACCATAAAAAAGCCAGACTACGGTTTGCAACTGCACATAGGGATAAAGATCGTACTTTTTTGAGAAATGTCCTCTGGTCTGATGAAACAAAAATAGAACTGTTTGGCCATAATGACCATCGTTATGTTTGAAAGAAAAAGGGGAATGCTTGCAAGCCGAAGAACACCATCCCAACCGTGAAGCACGGGGGTGGCAGCATCATGCTGTGGGGGTGCTTTGCTGCAGGAGGGCCTGGTGCACTTCACAAAATAGATGGCATCATGAGGAAGGAAAATTATGTGGATATATTGAAGCAACATCTCAAGACATCAGTCAGGAAGTTAAAGCTTGGTCGCAAACGGGTCTTCCAAATGGACAATGACCCCAAGCATACTTCCAAAGTTGTGGCAAAATGGCTTAAGGACAACAAGGTCAAGGTAATGGAGTGGCCATCACAAAGCCCTGACCTCAATCCTATAAAAAATGTGTGGGCAGAACTGAAAAAGTGTGTGCGAGCAAGGAGGCCTATAAACCTGACTCAGTTACACCAGCTCTGTCAGGAGGAATGGGCCAAAAGTCACCCAACTTATTGTGGGAAGCTCATGGAAGGCTACCTGAAACGTTTGACCCAAGTTAAACAATTTAAAGGCAATGCTACCAAATACTAATTGAGTGTATGTAAACTTCTGACCCACTGGGAATGTGATGAAAGAAATAAAAGCTGAAATAAATAATTATCTATACTATTATTCTGATATTTCACATTCTTAAAATAAAGTGGTGATCCTAACTGACCTAAGACAGGCAATATTTACTAGGATCAAATGTCAGGAATTGTGAAAAACTGAGTTTAAATATATTTGGCTAAGGTGTATGTAAACTTCCGACTTCAACTGTATATGGGGCAATTAGAATGTTTTATGTGTAATGATTATGATAAATTAGGCATTGTTGAAATCTGTTAAGAATGACAGTGTTCTCTGTAATTCCTCATTTTCTGATGTGAGGAATGAGGTCCGCCTCTGCTTGCTTGCACTTGCCCTTAAGTTTGAGTCACTGAATGACTTGGCGGTGTGTATAGTGCTGCTCAATAATTGATTTGGTTAGGCTCTGTCTTCCTTGAAAACAGGAGGTGTGTAGAACACAAAGGATATGATTGTTTGGGTCCGTACCGATTCCAATTTTTTAGGGGACAAAACTTACCAATACCAATACAGTGGGGGAAAAAAGTATTTAGTCAGCCACCAATTGTGCAAGTTCTCCCACTTAAAAAGATCAGATAGGCCTGTAATTTTCATCATAGGTACACGTCAACTATGACAGACAAATTGAGATTTTCTTTTCCAGAAAATCACATTGTAGGATTTTTAATGAATTTATTTGCAAATTATGGTGGAAAATAAGTATTTGGTCACCTACAAACAAGCAAGATTTCTGGCTCTCACAGACCTGTAACTTCTTCTTTAAGAGGCTCCTCTGTCCTCCACTCGTTACCTGTATTAATGGCACCTGTTTGAACTTGTTATCAGTATAAAAGACACCTGTCCACAACCTCAAACAGTCACACTCCAAACTCCACTATGGCCAACACCAAAGAGCTGTCAAAGGACACCAGAAACAAAATTGTAGACCTGCACCAGGCTGGGAAGACTGAATCTGCAATAGGTAAGCAGCTTGGTTTGAAGAAATCAACTGTGGGAGCAATTATTAGGAAATGGAAGACATACAAGACCACTGATAATCTCCCTCGATCTGGGGCTCCACGCAAGATCTCACCCCGTGGGGTCAAAATGATCACAAAAATCCCAGAACCACACAGGGGGACCTAGTGAATGACCTGCAGAGAGCTGGGACCAAAGTAACAAAGCCTACCATCAGTAACACACTACGCCGCCAGGGACTCAAATCCTGCAGTGCCAGACGTGTCCCCCTGCTTAATCCAGTACATGTCCAGGCCCGTCTGAAGTTTGCTAGAGTGCATTTGGATGATCCAGAAGAGGATTGGGAGAATGTCATATGGTCAGATGAAACTCAACTCGTCGTGTTTGGAGGACAAAGAATGCTGAGTTGCATCCAAAGAACACCATACCTACTGTGAAGCATGGGGGTGGAAACATCATGCTTTGGGGCTGTTTTTCTGCAAAGGGACCAGGACGACTGATCCGTGTAAAGGAAAGAATGAATGGGGCCATGTATCGTGAGATTTTGAGTGAAAACCTCCTTCCATCAGCAAGGGCATTGAAGATGAAACGTGGCTGGGTCTTTCAGCATGACAATGATCCAAACACACCGCCCGGGCAACGAAGGAGTGGCTTCGTAAGAAGCATTTCAAGGTCCTGGAGTGGCCTAGCAAGTCTCCAGATCTCAACCCCATAGAAAATCTTTGGAGGGAGTTGAAAGTCCGTGTTGCCCAGCGACAGCCCCAAAACATCACTGCTCTAGAGGAGATCTGCATGGAGTAATGGGCCAAAATACCAGCAACAGTGTGTGAAAACCTTGTGAAGACTTACAGAAAACGTTTGACCTGTGTCATTGCCAACAAAGGGTATATAACAAAGTATTGAGAAACTTTTGTTATTGACCAAATACTTATTTTCCACCATCATTTGCAAATAAATTCATAAAAAATCCTACAATGTGATTTTCTGGAGAGAAAAAAAATCTCATTTTGTCTGTCATAGTTGACGTGTACGTATGATGAAAATTACAGGCCTCTCATCTTTTTAAGTGGGAGAACATGCACAATTGGTGGCTGACTAAATACTTTTTTCCCCCCACTGTATATCTGCGGATATACGGTTTTACAGCAGGGTAATTAATAAGTGTAATTTTCCCACACTGAATTCTCATAAATTGATATCGGAAAGAGCAATTGTCCAATAACTATGCTTCAAATGTTTATTTCATTCATTGTGACAATAATGACATCATGAGAATGGCTGCAAGTGTTCAGAGAAGCATGAGATTCCCTTTTTTCTTCCTATTTATTGATTGGTTATCCGTTGAATTATCGGCCAATAACATCGGTGAACCGCTATATCGGTCAGGTTCTGGAAGCGTGTGATGGCGGTGGACACCTCATCACACGCACACTGAGGGTCTTTGCCTGGGGTCTATTTCCATATACAAGAACAACCACAAGCCTAGCTGACGCCACCAGTATAAGGGTGTAGGGTGCGATTTGGGACGCATCCATAGACTAGAGTACCATCTCACAGACAAGCCCCATATAAAAGGCTTCTTTATAAGCATTATTTCAGCCTGAGCTGGCAGCATTTATGGACTTTTATATGGAACCAGTCACCCAATGATTAATTCATGAAATCATCCCAAGATAGCACTATTATTCTGCAAAGGGGACATTTGTTTATCACCAGCTAATACTTACAGCACCAATAAAATAATGGATAAACAACAAAGGAGACCCAGTCGCAGACACTAAAACTCAAAGCTGCATCATATCAACTGCAGTAAAATTTGTGATTCCCTCTCTCTCCCTCCCCTCTCCTGCGCAACAATAAAATTAAAATCCACAAAGCAATATTACAAAATATTCTGTCCAGAACATATTATTTTTACACCCCCACCACCGCTGCCTCCAGGCTATTCTCACCAGCCAGCTGTCCAAACAAATGTTACATAGCCTCAGCTCATCCCGGGCCGCTTATGTAATATGGCATGGCAAGCGCTTAGCACACACACACACACACACACACACACACACACACACCCTCGTAGCTTAGTCACTGTCCCGCGGCATGCCATGCAATCATCCCTCTCAAGACAAGATCAAACCATCAATCTCAAGCGCCCAGTCAGTCATTGCTTATTGATGTGCAGCAGATCTTATAAGTATATAGTATATATATAAATAGTCCTCTTATCTTTCAAGGAATTCTACGAACTGTGATTGTGACGTTAAAGAATAAATAGTTAAACAATAGGACCAGTCTGTAGTGCTGGATGGGTTTAAGCCCTACTCAAACGCATAGCAGCCAGATCAACTGCTTGTGTGTATGTTGTGTGTGCGTGTATGGTGACTCTGCGTGTGTGTGTGTGTGTGCAATGCATGTATAGCACTAGGTGTGTGTGCAATGCATTTGTGTATAGCATAATGTGTGTGTGCAATGCATGCATGTATAGCACTACTAAGCTCAAAGTTACATGTATACATGCTTACAGAGCTTGTGTGTAATAATGTGGTATTTTATGTCACAAATTAAGTATTATAAAATACTTCAGGCCAATAAACATAATGGTCTAGTGCTCACAGAGTGCAGAGAGACAGTATACTTTAATTTGAAAGCCCCAGCTGGCATCAGTGGCTTGTTGTGCATCTGTTTGCTTTGTGATGAAGTAAACTACTAAAGTTAGTTGAATTCACTGACTGAAAGTCGTTCTGGATAAGAGCGTCTGCTTAAACAGGGGTCTTCAACCTTTTCTTGCCCAGGGACCCCGCCCAGGCAAATCGGTGACCCAGGGACCCCCATCATATGTTAGCAAAACACTTGTCATATCGTCAGGTGAAGCATAATGGCAAGGAGAAGTAAGCAACATTTTAAAATGAATAGATTTGGTTGATAGTTTTTCATAATTTTGACCTCTCCACATTATAATTGGAAGAGGAAGTATAAACTCTAACATAGCCTATTAGCTACTTTTTCGCTAATAGCAGCTGTTAAGCTGGCTAAACAAAGGTTAGCCATGTGTTGGCAAAAATGAATGTCAAGAAAGCTTACCAGCAGCCAGTTGCACTGGTACTTGCGGGTGCTTTTTCAAAGGCTATGTCAGATACTCCAGTGAGTGTAATTAGCTCCAATGAGTGTAATTTGCTCAATATTAGGAGTTGAGAAATAAACTTGACATCATTTTCTACTGGTATGTCAAGTATTAATGTGCCCCTCTCTGTGGTATGTTTTGTCAATTGTATTGCCAATTGCCAATCAATACAACTTGATTGTCCCCAGAGGGTAATTTGGTTTGCAAGCAGAGGTAATATAATTATACACAGTCCATACAAAATAGTTTAAAAACAGATCACACGAAAGACAAACTAGCCTAAGTTCTGTGTTGACGTTTCTGTGTGTTGTTCCTGTTTGGTGTGTGTGTTGTGTGTGTGTGTGTGTGTTTGTGTTTGTGTGTTGTGTGTGTGTGTGTGTGTGTGTTCTTCTATCCTTGTGGGGACCTAAAATCCCCAAAAGTCCCCACAAGGATAGTAAAACAAGGAAAATTCTCCCACGTGGGGACATTTCCCACGTCCCCATGAGGATAAAGGCTATTTTAAGCTTAGGGGTTAGGTTTAGGGTTACAATTAGGGTTAGGAAAAATTGGTTAACTAATTTTAGGTCCCCAGGACAATAGAAGAACATAACGTGTGTGTGTGTGTGTGTGTGTGTGTGTGTGTGTGTGTGTGTGTGTGTGTAACCAGCGGTCTTACCGTAACCGTCTCGTCGGTTGGGTACATGGCGTCCCTATTGGATTGATGCAGTGTTCTATCCTCAGTGTTCTATCCTGTGGTGCTAGTGCAGGGGCAGGGAAGAGACAAAAAAATGCAGCCCTCTCTCTCTCTCTCTCTTTCTACTCACTCTCTCACTGACTGACTATCATCGAGGCACGCTAGAAAGACACTGCTGCCTGTGCTAAGGAAGGACACTGCCAGCTACACACACAGACCAATACACTTACATAAACAGAAAGCATGCATGCCAAGCTCAAAGTGACACTACTCTCTCTGTCTGGCTCAACAGCCACTCGCTCGCTCTACGCTGCTGCTGCTGGCACTGTGCTCCAACCAATCCACATGCAATACCGCTCAGCATAGCCCGTCCCATCAGATACAACTCCCCCCACCCCGTACAATCTAATGCAAACACACGCACCCGCACCCACAGATTTCCAATTCAAGCTCACAGAGAGATTAAGAAAAGCTTCAAATAAGAGCAGCCACTGTGTTGGGCTGGGAATTGCCAGGGGCCTCACGATACGATATTATCACGATACTTAGGTGCCGATACGATAAGTATTGCGATTCTCACGATTCTATATGTATTGCGATTCGATACTGCGATTTTATTGCGATTTGATGTTCCAAACATATTGCTCACTATATGTCTGCTGCAGAGAGACAAAAGAGAGCATGAGAAAACAAGTTTTGATCTTTCAGGGAAATGAAAGTGCTGAAAACATGCTGGCTCACTATTTAAAAAGAAGATGGAGAACAAGCTATAGGATGAAAAATATTGGTGTTTTGGCGCAGGTACAGCCGACTAGCGCTACCTAACGCTATATATACTTTGAGTCAAATATCCATATAATATTGTCCAAAAATAATATTGCGATATGTAACTATCGATTTCCCCCCCCCATCTAAAACAGTGCCGTTGGAAGAGAGCCGGAACAGAAAGAGGCAGAAGGTTAAAAAAAGAGAGGGACAGATGGGGGGGGGGAGACAGAGGGACACAGAGAGAGAGAGAGAGAGTAGGAGAGAGAGAGAGAGAGTGGGAGAGAGGGAGATAGAGAAAGAGACAGAGATAATCAGAGAGAGAGTGAAGGAAGGAGAGGACGAAGGAAGGAATGCAGGACACTGGGTGAGTCCCCATGATCACTTTCCTTCATGGATTTGAAAGGAAATGACTGGTATATGGAAACTCCAGCTAGCCCATGCCTACACCAATCCAATGCTTTTAAATTTGTGGGAAGTAGCGAACAAGTGCACACTTTGGGAGGAAGGACAGATCATTTGGAAGTAGCCAAGCCCCTGAGCCCAGCCTCCTCTACTAAGCTTACCCTAACCTTTGGTCTCTTACACAAGAGACTGAAGAGAGAGAGCAAGAGAGCAAACTCAACACAGGGGTGGGCAGAGTGCCAGGGTCGTTCCCAGCAAGAACACAGAACACACCCTCCGCCTCTACAACTCAGGCGCAGAGGGAAAAGGCTCACAGTCCCACCTCTACATTAGACCTAGATTGTGACATTCAACATTACTCACTACTACAGTACACTGTAGTACAACACAGCGCAGTGCTGATTTAGGATAGGGCTGTGGTGGTCATGAAATTTTGTCAGCCGGTATTGTCATGCAAATGGGTTCATGCGAGTGACTGACTGATTGTACGAAGGGGGAATTCACACTATCACTGATAACCAATTTGGAAGTACGCCCAGAACATTGCTCTTGGAACTATAAGGAGTATCTCAGTTAAGGTAAGAAGCCTGGTGTGGTATCAGTCAGTCTCATGCAGGAACCAACCATGCTTATATGACTTGTTTGTGTAGAGTGAGCGCCCCTTTTCAGAGTTTCATCAGGCTTGTATTGCGTTTGTGAACCTCTCCGGCCGTGATAATAAAGATTGCATAATTTACTTTGAATCTGAGTCCTTAGTAGTGAATTTCCACAACAATTCTGGCGTCACGAAACAGGATGTTTGATCTTCTTGACATGATCCATCAGTGAAGGTCTGAGAGGGAACACCAGTGGCGCATTCTCGTCTCACCAAAGAGGACGAAGACCCACCCGGACCAGACCTCCTCTGTGGGACGCATCCGGGAGGAAACACAACATCCACGAAACCTAGAAGGACAACTCAAATTGTGAAGCATTTACAGTGGGGGAAAAAAGTGTTTAGTCAGCCACCAATTGTGCAAATTCTCCCACTTAAAAAGATGAGAGAGGCCTGTTATTTTCATCATAGGTACACATCAACTATGACAGACAAAATGAGAAAAAAAATTCCAGAAAATCACATTGTAGGATTTTTTATGAATTTATTTGCAAATTATGGTGGAAAATAAGTATTTGGTCACCTACAAACAAGCAAGATTTCTGGCTCTCACAGACCTGTAACTTCTTCTTTAAGAGGCTCCTTTGTCCTCCACTCGTTACCTGTATTAATGGCACCTGTTTGAACTTGTTATCAGTATAAAAGACACCTGTCCACAACCTCAAACAGTCACACTCCAAACTCCACTATGGCCAAGACCAAAGAGCTGTCAAAGGACACCAGAAACAAAATTGTAGACCTGCACCAGGCTGGGAAGACTGAATCTGCAATAGGTAAGCAGCTTGGTTTGAAGAAATCAACTGTGGGAGCAATTATTAGGAAATGGAAGACATACAAGACCACTGATAATCTCCCTCGATCTGGGGCTCCACGCAAGATCTCACCCCGTGGGGTCAAAATGATCACAAGAACGGTGAGCAAAAATCCCAGAACCACACGGGGGGACCTAGTGAATGACCTGCAGAGAGCTGGAACCAAAGTAACAAAGCCTACCATCAGTAACACACTACGCCGCCAGGGACTCAAATCCTGCAGTGCCAGACGTGTCCCCCTGCTTAAGCCAGTACATGTCCAGGCCCCTGAAGTTTGCTAGAGTGCATTTGGATGATCCAGAAGAAGATTGGGAGAATGTCATATGGTCAGATGAAACCAAAATAGAACTTTTTGGTAAAAACTCAACTCGTTGTGTTTGGAGGACAAAGAATGCTGAGTTGCATCCAAAGAACACCATACCTACTGTGAAGCATGGGGGTGGAAACATCATGCTTTGGGGCTGTTTTTCTGCAAAGGGACAAGGACGACTGATCCGTGTAAAGGAAAGAATGAATGGGGCCATGTATCGTGAGATTTTGAGTGAAAACCTCCTTCCATCAGCAAGGGCATTGAAGATGAAACGTGGCTGGGTCTTTCAGCATGACAATGATCCCAAACACACCGCCCGGGCAACGAAGGAGTGGCTTCGTAAGAAGCATTTCAAGGTCCTGGAGTGGCCTAGCCAGTCTCCAGATCTCAACCCCATAGAAAATCTTTGGAGGGAGTTGAAAGTCCGTGTTGCCCAGCGACAGCCCCAAAACATCACTGCTCTAGAGGAGATCGGCATGGAGGAATGGGCCAAAATACCAGCAACAGTGTGTGAAAACCTTGTGAAGACTTACAGAAAACGTTTGACCTGTGTCATTGCCAACAAAGGGTATATAACAAAGTATTGAGAAACTTTTGTTATTGACCAAATACTTATTTTCACCATAATTTGCAAATAAATTCATTAAAAATCCTACAATGTGATTTTCTGGATTTATTTGTCTCATTTTGTCTGTCATAGTTGACGTGTACCTATGATGAAAATTACAGGCCTCTCTCATCTTTTTAAGTGGGCCAAAATTCACCAAACTTATTGTGGGAAGCTTGTGGAAGGCTACCCAAAATCTTTGACCCAAGTTAAACAATTTAAAGGCAATGCTACCAAATACTAATTGAGTGTATGTAAACTTCTGACCCACTGGGAATGTGATGAAATAAATAAAAGCTGAAATAAATCATTCTCTACAATTATTCTGACATTTCACATTCTTAAAATAAAGTGGTGATCCTAACTGACCTAAGACAGGGCATTTTTACTAGGATGAAATGTCAGGAACTGTGAAAAACTGAGTTTAAATGTATTTGGCTAAGGTGTATGTAAACTTCCGACTTCAACTGTATGATCTGTGTAGTAATATTATTTGTATCTCAGAACTATTTGCATTGCTAGTTATAGCCTAATGTTAGCTAGCTAACGTTGAACCTGGTTGGTTAGCTACCTGCAGATTCATATAGTTGGGATTATGAGTTGGGATTATGGTTCATTGTTTAGCTAGCTAGCTACATGTCTAAACAAAAGACTCTACTATGCAAGCAACTATTTCAATAGAATGTTTATGATGTCACTGCGACAACTGTCGATAGACGTAGCTGGTAAATTCGCTCTGGCTATCTACTCCGATTTCAGAGCACTCTCGTCTGAGTGTGCCAGAGCGCATAATAACTGACGAATTTACAAACGTTCAACACCCGTTGAATATGGCCGTTGTCAGTAAACGTTGGCAAAAAAGCGTAATAATATTTTTGCCAGCAGCACAGTTGCAGTCACCAACGCTTTGGATAACATAAAAACAGCCTAACCAGCTCTGGAAGGGCAAGTAAATTGGTCAGTGAGCTGTTGTCTCATTTGTGTCTGGAATTAGCTAGCAAGCTAGCCAACGTTAGCCAGTTAGCTTGGGTGCTTGACTGCTGTTGTTAGGTCAGAATGCTTGGCTCAACCATACTCCTCGGCGAAATAATCCAGTGTGTGCTCTGAATGCTCCGAGAGCAAAACGCTCTGAATTTACGAACGGACAATCTGACAACGCTCTGAGTTTACGAACGCCCAGAGCGCACTCTGGCACCCCAGATTAAATTTACGAACACCTAGTATAAACCAGCCTTTAGTCTTGAAATCTTTGGTTGTTTAGTACATAGCCTCACATGTGAATCCTTAAAGAGATGGGTGGGGATAAAGCTTAAGAGGATGTGAACGATGCTGAATTGGTGTAGACAAAGAAGAGCTCTCCATTAGGTACCAAAACATTCAAGGGCCATTTTCATTATCAACTTTCAAAGCAGAATTACTTTCCCATTGTTCCTCAACTGTAGCGTATGAGAGACAATTTTCTAGCTCTGAGTCTCTACTTTTATCCTATGTAAAAAACACCCTTTCAAATTTTGCTACATAAGACCGAATCGAGCCGGTTGGTCACATATGTTTTACAAGTGGGTCGAGGCATTTCCATGTCGAAGAGCCATAGCGTGTACTGTGGCCAAAGCTCTCCTGCAAGAGATCATTCCAAGTCTGACCTGGGTAAGAGCACTCCCGTTGGCACTGACGAGCATGTGAGGTAGGTCTCACACTGTGACTGGTCTCTCCCCACACAAGGTACTAACTGGACGCCCCCACTCCTTTCCCCCAAAATAGGTTAACCCTTCAGGGAATGAAGGACGACATGGTGGCTTATTGTGTATCTCTTAACGGTGTTCTTAAGACTCTACTCCCATGGGTGAAGTCTTCTCTGCTGAACCTTGCAGGTGTTGCTCACCACAACCTGAAACCAGGAGATTTCATTGTGGTCAAGGATCTTTCGAAGAAAGAGTTGGAAAGACCCCATGTGGAAGGGACCATACCAAGTTCTCCTGACCACAACCTCTGCTGTCAAGGTAGAAGAACGAGATATGTGGATACACGCTTCCCACTGCAGGAAGGGGCCAGAACCAGGAAATCAGAATGGCGAGGAGGATCGGTGAATGTGAAAGGACATGCTTCTGGATTGGTCTCACCGCAATAGTGGGGACCGTCATCTGCCTCCTGCTGGCCAGTAATGACCTAGAAGGATCCAGGGACCGTCCCCAGCCAACGGGACCACCACAGGCCCAGAGTAGAGGCCCAGAAGAAGCCAGTAAGGTTGCGAGAGGAAAACTAAACTTCAAAAGACACTATGAACTCCTTCCTTTCCACAGCACAGATGGTGGCGAATGGCCTCTCCCTGAACACTTCCTGTTGGGTTTGTGGGCTAGTCCCACAGGGGGTAGGTGAAGGGCTCCCTTTATTGGGTGTCCCAGCCGGTGTAAATTATACTTTTTCCATGCGCCCAGCACTGTGGTTTTACGATTCCCCTCCTCGACGACCGGACCTTATGACATATTTTGCTTTTTATAACCAAACTTGGAAAGGTAGTTATAGAAGACCTTGTGAAAATAAAATCTGTCCCCCACCCATCCCAATAGAAAGCTAATTGACTACAGCCTGGTGTATATGGGGTAATGGGTCTGTCTATCTAGGTGAAAATGTGTGAAAGTGTACAATGGACTCTGATGGAGAATCAAATTGCTCACTGACAGTTCATGATTTGCAGACGGGCAGACCCTCAAATGTACAGTGCATTCGGAAAGTATTCAGACCACTTGACTTTTTCCACATTTTGTTACGTTACAGCTATATTCTAAAATTGATAGTTTTTTCCCCTCATCAATCTACACACAATACCCCATAATGACAAAGCAAAAACTGTTTTTATTTTATTTTATTTTAGCAAATTCAAAAAATACGAAAACGAAAATATCACATTTCCATAAATATTCAGACCCTTTACTCAGTACTCTGTTGAAGCACCTTTGGCAGCGATTAGAGCCTTGAGTCTTCTTGGGTATGACGCTACAAGCCTGTATTTGGGGAGTTTCTCCCATTCTTCTCTGCAGATCCTCACAAGCTCTGTCAGGTTGGATGGGGAGCGTCGCTGCACAGCTATTTACAGGTCTCTCCAGAGAAGTTTGATTGGGTTCAAGTCCGGGCTCTGGCTGGGCCACTCAAGGACATTCAGAGACATGAAGCCACTCCTGCGTTGTCTTGGCTGTGTGCTTAGGGTTGTTGTCCTGTTGGAAGGTGAACCTTTGCCCCAATCTGAGATCCTGAGTGCTCTGGAGCAGGTTTTCATCAAGGAAATCTCTGTGCTCTGCTCCGTTCATCTTTCCCTCGATGCTGACTAGTCTCCCAGTCCCTGCCTCTAAAAAACAACCCCACAGCATGATGCTGCCTCTTCCATGCTTCACTGTAGGGATGGTACCGGGTTTCCTCCAGACGTGACGCTTGGCATTCAGGCCAAAGAGTTCAATATTCGTACTCTGTGAATGTTGTAGAGCATGAACCTGCAGGATCGGATCACCGCTTTGATGTTAGCGGAGAATGACAGGGTGTTGTCCAGGGTCACGCCAAGGTTCCTTGCACTCTGGGAGGAGGACACAATGGAGTTGTCAACCGTGATGGCGAGATCATGGAGCGGGCAGTCCTTCCCCGGGAGTTATGGAGAATTAGAGATCAGGGTTGGGTTATAAAGAAATATCTGAAACGTTGAACATCCCACGGAGCACCATTAAATCCACTATTAAAAAATTGAAAGAATATGACACCACAACAAACCTGCCAAGAGAGGGCCGCCCACCAAAACTCACGGACCAGGCAAGGAGGGCATTAATTGAGAGAGGCAACAAAGAGACCAAAGATAACCCTGAAGGAGCTGCAAAGCGCCACAGCGGAGATTGGAGTATCTGTCCATAGGATCACTTTAAGCCGTACACTCCACAGAGCTGGGCTTTACGGAAGAGTGGCCAGAAAAAAGCCATTGCTTAAAGAAGAAAATAAGCAAACACGTTTGGTGTTCGCCAAAAGGCATGTGGGAGACTCCCCAAACATATGGAAGAAGGTACTCTGGTCAGATGAGACTAAATTGAGCATTTTGGCTATCAAGGAAAACGCTATGTCTGGCGCAAACCCAACACCTCTCATCACCCCGAGAACACCATCCCCACAGTGAAGCATGGTGGTGGCAGCATCATGCTGTGGGGATGTTTCTCATCGGCAGGGACTGGGACACTGGTCAGAATTGAAGGAATGATGGATGGCGCTAAATACAGGGAAATACTCGAGGGAAACCTGTTTCAGTCTTCCAGAGATTTGAGACTGGGATGGAGGTTCACCTTCAAGCAGGACAATGATTGCTGCAAAAGGTGGCTCTACAAAGTATTGACTTTGGGGGGGTGAATAGTTATGCACGCTCAAGTTTTCAGATTTTTTTTGTCTTATTTCTTGTTTGTTTCACAATAGAAAATATTTTGCATCTTCAAAGTGGTAGGCATGTTGCGTAAATCAAATGATACAAACCCCCAAAAAATCAATTTTAACTCCAGGTTGTAAGGCAACAAAATAGGAAAAATGCCAAGGGGGATGAATACTTTTGCAAGCCACTGTAGGTGCCTTTTGGCAAACTCCAAGTAGGGATGGTGCCAGTTCTCCTCCAGACGTGACCCTTGGCATTCAGGCCAAAGAGTTCAATCTTGGTTTCATTAGACCAGAGAATCTTGTATCTCATGGTCTGAGAGTCCTTTAGGTGCCTTTTGGCAAACTCCAAGCGGGCTGTCATGTGCCTTTTACTGAGGAGTGGCTTCCATCTGGCCACTGTACCATAAAGGCCTGATTTGTGGAGTGCTGCAGAGATGGTTATTTACATTTTAGTCATTTAGCAGACGCTCTTATCCAGAGCGATTTACAGTTAGTGAGTGCATACATTTCATACTGGTTATCCTTCTGGAAGGTTTTCCCATCTCCACAGAGGAACTCTGGAGCTCTGTCATAGTTACCATCGGGTTCTTGATCACCTCCCTGACCAAGGCTCACCTCCCCCGATTGCTCAGTTTGGCCAGGCGGCCAGCTCTAGTAAGAGTCTTGGTGGTTCCAAACTTCTTCCATTTAAGAATGATGGAGGCCACTGTGTTCTTGGGGACCTTCAATGCTGCAGAAATGTTTTGGTAACCTTCCCCAGATCTGTGCCTCGACACAATACGGTCTTCAGAGCTCTACGGACAATTCCTTCGACCTCATGGCTTGGTTTTTGTTCTGGCATGCACTGTCAACTGTGGGACCTTATATAGACAGGTGTGTGCCTTTCCAAATCATGTCCAATCAATTGAATTTACCACAGGTGGACTCCAATCAAGTTGTAGAAACATCTCAAGGATGATCAATGGAAACAGGATGCACCTGAGCTCAATTTCGAGTCTCATAGCAAAGGGTCTGAATACTTATGTAAATAAGGTATCTGTTTTTTATTTTTAATACATTTGCTAACATTTTTAAAAACCTGTTTTCGCTTTGTCATTATGGGGTATTGTGTGTAGATTGATGGATAAAAAATAAAATCAATTTTAGAATAAGGCTGTAACGTAACAAAATGTGGAAAAAGTCAAGAGGTCTGAATACTTTCTGAATGCTCTGTAAGTGTGGTCCTCTCAGCGTATAATATAAACTTGGAAACAAGGAAATCAGCCCCTAATGGGCCTATTGGTTATGTGGGAACATATTATGTACTACCAGATAGTTGGGTGGGAGTGTGTACTATTGGGTTCGTTGTTCCTGCTATGAGAGCAGTGCCAGATGACAATGATAATCTTAAAATGATTTTCCAGGGATATTGTCCCCCTGCAGCAGGCACTCGCTGGCAGTGATTACTCATATTCAAACTACCCTGTCACGATTTACTGGTGTAATGCTCCATAATTATGGAGTGGCATGTGCCCTTGATCAAATGTGAAATATATCTAAGAAATTGGAGAAAGTGGCTAATGCTACGTCAAAAGCCCTTAAGGCCCTCAGTACTGAAATGATAGCACTAGACTATAGACTACCTATTAGCAAGTCAGGGAGGGATGTGTGCAGTCATTGGAGATGAGTGTTGCACCTTTGTTCCTGACTCGTCTATGAATGTCACCTATTTAGCAGATTACATTGCAGAAACTGCTAGAAGCCACTCTGGCAATGAAGATAATGAGTGGGAGGTGACAGCCTGGCTGTCAACTATGTTCATATCAAGAGGTGTGAACCTTGTAAAATGGGCCATGTTGGGAGTATTTGTCCTTGTGTGCGTGATAACATTGATTTTGTGTTGCAAGGCTCTGTGCTCTTCTTTTGGACTCACGGGTCTCAGCAACTTTTATGTTCACTTCTGCAACTGCAGGAGAGACTGTTAGTTTGATTGGGCTAAAATAAATGCCATTTGCTGATGAGAATGATGACGATAATGAGGACTATAAGGAACTCAATGAAGGCCCTGCTTATGATGATAGTATTTCCATAAATGAAATTGTGTAATGAAGCATGTGTGTAACTGTATGAAGTGAAGGTCTTAAGGTTAAACCATTCTACTGCAATGGCTTTACAAGTGTAAGTGCTATGGAATAAGGATCAGTTACTATTTAGACTGTACAACCCAGAATTATGGGTTTGAAAGGATTAAGTGTCTGGTTTTATGTGTTGATTTCGCTTAATTTTAATATAATTATTTTGATAGAACCTCCTTCGATAGTTTAAGCCATAATCTAATGCTTAGTTTAACAATAGTTATCACAGAGTGATAAAAGGAGGGAGTGTGATGGAAATGTTCCTGTGTGTATGAACGTCTGTTTAGCACAATGCTGCTTCTCTCTTAACCAACTTGGATGGGTTCATGCGAGTGACTGATTGATTGTACGAAGGAGGAATCCACACTATCACTGATAAGCAATTTGGCAGTACGCCCAGAACATTGCTCTCGGAACTATAAGGAGTATCTCAGTTTCAAGGTAAGAAGCCTGTTGTGGGATCAGTCAGTCTCATGCAGGAACAATCCATGCCTATATGACTTGTTTGTGTAGTAGTATAAAGGGACTGAAAAGGGAACGCCCCTTTTCAGAGTTTCATCAGGCTTGTACTGAGAGTTTGTGAACCTCTCCGGCCGTGATAATAAAGATTGCTTCATTTACTTTGAATTTGAGTCCTTAGTGGTGAACTCTATATTGAGTGGGCAAAAAAAGGCACGCGCTCTGATCCTTCCCACAGAGAGAGAGAGATAATTGCATTGCTGCTCTGCTTGTATGGGAAGCAAGTTAGAGGATATCTAATCAATGGAAGATTAAACTAAAAGTTAAATGAGAAAGAAATGCTACAACGACCAAAAGCCAACAAGTAGGCTGCTATTTAGGCTATAATCTGAATGGAGTTGTTGTTATGTGTAGCTAACTGTAGGATGGTGAGAATCAGTAACGTTATGGCTAGCCTCAATTAGCTAGCTTCTCTTTGTTTGACTAAGTCAAGACAGGTACTAAGTAATTGGACGGGATGATAAATAACTAGCAAGAAGTTAGTCTAGCGTGAGATAACAGTGGTTGCGTTCTCTCCCTCTGTGTCTGCTCCAATACTCCGAGACTCCGATGTCTTCTCACATATTCACACACACACACACACCTCATGGCCTCCGCTCCCTAATAGCCTACAACTGCTCACTCTGTGCCCCTCTCCCTTTCAGTAATGGCTCCGGTTTAATAAAGTAGCAAAACAATTGGCTTTTTTGCTGCTTCCCTCACTTGGATCGGATCTGTTGTCCTTTAGGAAGGGGTTAAACATTTTTATTTATGCACATTTGGTCCAGGGCTTTCCTGTGTTCATTTCTGAATGGGAGCTCTAACTCCCATCACCATTTGTCTTCATCATTCAGATTATTCAAATTCAATCATGAAGTAGGCTATTTAGAGAGTGATTAGAGCACGTGTCAAACTCATTCCACGGAGGGCCGAATGTCTCCGGGTTTTCGCTCCACCATTGTATTTGATTGATGAACTAAGATCACTAATTATTAAGGAACTCCCCACACCTGGTTGTCTAGGTCTTAATTGAAAGCAAAAACCTGCAGACACTCGGCCTTCTGTGGAATGAGTTTGACACCCCTGGATTAGAGGGACAATCGAGCTCTGAGTACCAGGCCATTAGCGAGGGTCGTTAGCAAGTTTGGTAGGCTACCCATCAGCACCATTAATTTGCACAGTTTTGGATGGGATTACCGTGACAAATGGTCACAGGGAATTTGACTGCGGCTCATCCACCTCTGGCCTGCTGGCTCCCCTTCCTCTGCGGAAGCATAGTTCCCGCTCAGCCCAGTCAAAACTGTTCGCTGCTCTGGCACCCCAATGGTGGAACAAGCTCCCTCACGACGCCAGGACAGCGGAGTCACTCACCACCTTCCGGAGACATTTGAAACCCCACCTCTTTAAGGAATACCTGGGATAGGATAAAGGAATCCTTCTACCCCCCCCCCCCCCCCCCCCAATTGTAAAGTGGTTAACCCACTGGCTATAGGGTGAACGCACCAATTTGTGAGTCGCTCTGGCTAAGAGCGTCTGCTAAATGACGTTAATGTGCCCTTGAGCAAGGCACTTAACCCTAATTGCTCCTGTAAGTCGCTCTGGATAAGAGCGTCTGCTAAATGACTAAAATGTAAAATGTAATGATTTGTGACTGCCGTTGTGGCGGTAATACGGTCACCGCGATAGGCCTAATCTAGGATCATTTTTGCCTTCTAGATCATAATGAATAAAATTACATGGACAGGGGGCGTCTGATCCTAGATCAGAACTCCTACTTTAAGACTCTTTGTGAACACAGAATGCAGTGTCATTTCAGCAGTAGGATACAGCTAGCCGGATGACTCACACTAAATTATTCAGCTGCTCTGTCGTTTGCTACATACTTTAGTCTGAGGCTGCCATCACTGAAGTTGTTTGTGGAGAGGAGGGGCACGAGGGGCGTTGTACAAAACAAAGTCATCAGCAATTGGATCGTATCTAACCAATCAGAGTATCAAAGCCAATGGACGAATTTTCAAACTGCCGGTTTACCCACGTGTGTTCTGGCTCAACCCATCGGTTTCTGGACCAATCAGACTGCCCCGAATGTGTTCGCATTCGGTGAAGGGTCGTGGAGGTATACTCAGATCCAGACTCACTGCGGAGAAGAAACGAACGTCCGTGGGCGTGGCATAGCGTGTGGCTGGAGCAAGGAGTCTGGGTAGCCAGGCAAGGATACAGCCCAGGCCAGAACAAAACCCTGTCCCAACTATGTCCCCTCTAAAAAAAAATACATATGGCCCCCTGCCCTGCCACAATGTGACGTAATAAACCTTTAAAAAGAGAATTAACAACATGACTGCAGCTGGCCAATCTCTCTCTCACATCTCTGGCTCCCTCTGAGGGGTTCAGTCACTCACTGTGTGTGTGTGTGCTCATCCCTCATGAGGACAGTCGATGCTACACAGACCGAGAGAGAGAGAGGGAGTTGATTTAAAAGTTGATTACAGCTGCCAGCCAGGGTAGAGGAAGGAAAAAACTGAGGGCGCTTGTCCTCTCGTTCTGATTAGACAAATATTGTTCTTTGTGCATCTCAGAGAGGAGGAAGAGAGTGAGGGAGAGGAGGAGAGGTGGTCTTTCTGCTGACTCACCGGCTTGTTAGAATAACAAGCAGGTTGAAAGAGGATAGAGAACAGGGGGAAGGAGGGAGGGAGGTGTTAATGTATAGCTTGGACAATCTGCTTAAGTATCAAGGGGACTGCCTGTGCTTCCATGATAAGATTCCTTGTTCGTGAAATTAAATCACTGACATTCTTCTAAGCAGCACATTATCTAAGCAATGCACTCTATACATTACTCTAAGCAAGCCAATACCATTATCAGGAATGATATGCAAGTAATATTCAATAGTCATTCAAGTCCGTGTTTTATTAGTGGTGGTGAGTCAAAGTCAGCTCATCTAGATAAAAATGGTATGTTTGCCAGAGGAAAAAGCAATATGGATTGTGCAACCAAGGGTGTTTTTCTGGATCAAAAAGGGGCTTAGGTGGTGGGCGAGGCAGGGGGTGCGGTCGGCCTGTCAGCGCGGTTGAATTTAAAAAACGATTTACAAAATGTCTCCATGCAGCTGAGAGAAAATGTTGCAGTTTTAAAGCACATTTCCTGCAATTCTACTGCTGCTGCTGCTGGAGCTCAGGAGCTGGGCCTCTCTGAGCTGGATCGGTCAGAGCTGACTTCCATCTGTGTGTGTACCGTATTTTCCGCACTATAAGGCGCACCGGAGTATAAGCCGCAGCAGCTAAATTGAATGATATTGAATAATGCGTACATATATAAGCCGCACTGGACTATAAGCCGCAGGTGTTTTAATGTTTAATTACCATATGTAAGGGTTCGTGCACAGAGGGGATTGTCGGGAAAGGGACAAACTGTCTCGCTCTCGTAATGTCTGTCTGTCTTGCTCTCGTTCTGTCTCTCGTTCTGTCTCTCGTACCACTCTCGGTTCCACTTTTACTTTTGCGCGCTACCTGTCTCACTCTTTTCCGGCCTCCAGCTTTTCCTGCTGGAGCCCGCCGCTTAAAGGTGGGGGGCGCGGACCGGTCATAGAGCCCATAGAGTTAAAGTTGGTGGACTGTAACCTGTAAAATCCATAGATTTAGGAGGTCTTCTAGTGGCCGTTAGCTGTAAAAAATCCATAGATTAGCCGCACCGTTATATAAGCCGCAGGGTCGAAAAATTGGAAAAAAGGCGCGGCTTATAGTCCGAAAATTACGGTAATTTTCCATTCTAAATTCAAATCTGCTGCTGATGGAGCTCAGGAGCTGGGCCTCTCTGAGCTGGATCTGTCTGAGCTGACTTCACTCTGTGTGTGTGCAAATGATGTATGTCTATGGAAAGTTTTCATACCCCTTGACTTATTCCACATTTTGTTGTGTTACAGGCTGAATTCAAAATGGATTAAATATTATTTTTTCCTCACCCATCTACACACAATACCCCATCATGACAAAGTGAAAAATGTTTTTTTTTTTTTTTTGTGCAAATCTATTGAAAATTAAATACAGAAATATCTCATTTACATAAGTATTCACACCCCTTTGCTATGACACTCCAAATTGAGCTCAGGTGCATCCAATTTCCTTTGATCATCCTTGATATGTCACTACAACTTGATTGGTGACCACCTGTGGCCAATTCATTTGTTTGGACATAATTTAGTAAGAAACACACCTGTCTATATAAGGTCCCATAGTTGACAGTGCATGTCAGAGCAGAAACTATACCATGAAGTCCAAGGAACTGTCCATAGATTTGGAGATAGAATTGTGATGAGGCATATCTGGGGAAGGATATAAAACAATTTCTAGAGTGTTGAAAGTTTCCAAGAGCACAGTCGTCTCCATCATTTGGAAATTGAAAAAATATGGAACTACCCAGACTCTGCCTAGAGCTGGCCGTCCGACCAAACTGAACAACCGGGCAAGAAGGACTTGGTCAGGGAGGTGACCAAGAACCCAATGACCACTCTGACAGAACTACAGAGTTCCTTGGCTGAGATGGGAGAACCTGCCAGAAGGACAACAGTTTCTACAGCACTTCACCAACCTGGGCTTTATGGGAGAGTGACCAGACGGAAGCCACTCCTGAGCAAAAGGCACATGACAGCACGCCTGGAGTTTGCAAAAAGAATCATGAAAGATGCAGAGCATAAGGCTGCGAGTGACGGTGTGACTAGCACCCGTTGTCTCTCTCTCCTCCCTGCTGCAGCGACCACCACAGAACATCAACAGTGTGTATCGAGCTGTCCATGTTGCTGAAGCTGCAACATAATTACAGCCATTTTTGACTGAAAAGTTGTTACTGAAATCCCTCATTTGTTTAGGAAAAACATTCCCTATTCCCTCAACCTTTGCTCTCTTTACATGACACATGTACGCAAAGAAGGTAAGGTGCAAGAGCTACATGCATATTATGTGTGTCAAACAGGTGCTGTTAGATTACAGTATAATTTTTCTGACCATTTGGAACAATTTAAACAACACTAAATAAATTATAAGCGTACCAGAGAGTCTGTAACTTTTTTTGTAAAGCATTTATTACAGCAAAGACAAAAAACTGTCGCATTCATTCCTGAATGCAATTTCCAAAAAGGAACAGTTTAGGCCTATTTATTGTTTACACTAATTATTCAATGGTCGCTTTGTTATTTTATGACAACATAAATGCTTGATTGCATTTCATATCATGAATGACTCCTATGCTGTGTGATGATATTAATATAACCATGTACAATTTCAGTAGCAAATGTCTTAGACTGATGGACTGTGCCATTCCCACGGCCTCCACAATTGATCAGTCCACTCAGACTGGCACGGATCAGAACGGTGTCTTGTACACCATGATTGTTATTATTTATTTTTGCTACTGCTCGACTAAAGACATCTCAGTCAACCAATAGTGCACTACAAATACTCCACCAAACAGACTCTTGCTAGGTGTGCATTTGAATTAAATGGTAACTACACCCAAAAATCGAAATGTTATAGATATTTCCCAGACCTCAAAAGCGGTCTCCTGATATGATTTAAGCATTGTTGTGGACCTAGTCGGCTGTATCTGCGCAAAAAGCATAATTTTTTTCTTCATCCTATAGCTTGTTCTCCATCTTCTTTTTAAATAGTGAGCCAACGTGTTTTCAAAACTTTTACTTCCCTGACTGTTCAAAACTAATTTACTCATGCTCTCTCGTCTCTCTGCAGCAGACATACAGTGGGGGAAAAAAGTATTTAGTCAGCCACCAATTGTGCAAGTTCTCCCACTTAAAAAGATGAGAGAGGCCTGTAATTTTCATCATAGGTACACGTCAACTATGACAGACAAATTGAGGGAAAAAAATCCAGAAAATCACATTGTAGGATTTTTAATGAATTTATTTGCAAATTATGGTGGAAAATAAGTATTTGTTCACCAACAAACAAGCAAGATTTCTGGCTCTCACAGACCTGTAACTTCTTCTTTAAGAGGCTCCTCTGTCCTCCACTCGTTACCTATATTAATGGCACCTGTTTGAACTTGTTATCAGTATAAAAGACACCTGTCCACAACCTCAAACAGTCACACTCCAAACTGCACTATGGCCAAGACCAAAGAGCTGTCAAAGGACACCAGAAACAAAATTGTAGACCTGCACCAGGCTGGGAAGACTGAATCTGCAATAGGTAAGCAGCTTGGTTTGAAGAAATCAACTGTGGGAGCAATTATTAGGAAATGGTAGACATACAAGACCACTGATAATCTCCCTCGATCTGGGGCTCCACGCAATATCTCACCCCGTGGGGTCAAAATGATCACAAGAACGGTGAGCAAAAATCCCAGAACCACACAGGGGGACCTAGTGAATGACCTGCAGAGAGCTGGGACCAAAGTAACAAAGCCTACCATCAGTAACACACTACGCCACCAGGGACTCAAATCCTGCAGTGCAAGGCGTGTCCCCCTGCTTAAGCCAGTACATGTCCAGGCCGTCTGAAGTTTGCTAGAGTGCATTTGGATGATCCAGAAGAGGATTGGGAGAATGTCATATGGTCAGATGAAACCAAAATATAAAACTTTTTGGTAAAAACTCAACTCGTCGTGTTTGGAGGACAAAGAATGCTGAGTTGCATCCAAAGAACATCATACCTACTGTGAAGCATGGGGGTGGAAACATCATGCTTTGGGGCTGTTTTTCTGCAAAGGGACCAGGACAACTGATCTGTGTAAAGGAAAGAATGAATGGGGCCATTTATTGTGAGATTTTGAGTGAAAACCTCCTTCCATCAGCAAGGGCATTGAAGATGAAACGTGGCTGGGTCTTTCAGCATGACAATGATCCCAAACACACCGCCCGGGCAACGAAGGAGTGGCTTCGTAAGAAGCATTTCAAGGTCCTGGAGTGGCCTAGCCAGTCTCCAGATCTCAACCCCATAGAAAATCTTTGGAGGGAGTTGAAAGTCTGTGTTGCCCAGCGACAGTCCCAAAACATCACTGCTCTAGAGGAGATCTGCATGGAGGAATGGGCCAAAATACCAGCAACAGTGTGTGAAAACCTTGAAGACTTACAGAAAACATTTGACCTGTGTCATTGCCAACAAAGGGTATATAACAAAGTATTGAGAAACTTTTGTTATTGACCAAATACTTATTTTCCACCATAATTTGCAAATAAATTCATTAAAAATCCTACAATGTGATTTTCTGGATTTTTTTTCCTCATTTTGTCTGTCATAGTTGACGTGTACCTATGATGAAAATTACAGGCCTCTCTCATCTTTTTAAGTGGGAGAACTTGCACAATTGGTGGCTGACTAAATACTTTTTTTCCCCACTGTATAGTGAACAGTATGTTTGGAATATTAAATTCCAATAAAATAGCAGTACCGAATCGCAATACACATAGAATAACAATAGATATAGTTTTGGCACCTAAGTATCGTGATAATATCGTATCGTGAGGTCCCTGGCAATTCCAGGCCTACTTTTATCCAAAGTGGCTTACAGTAGTGTGTGCATACATTTTTGTATCGATGGCCCCATCGAAAATAGAACCCATGATCCTGCCGTTGCAAGCGCTATGCTCTACCAACTTGGTTTACACAGGCTAGTATACACCCAAACCTTATGTACCAGATAGCGGTTTTCTTTGGACGCAGGCCTTTACCAGTGCCTGTCCCTCTCCCAGTCTCCCCACCCTTGGTCCTGTTCTCCATTCACACAGTGGGCCGAGAGGGCCACAGCCCAATCCTGCACCAATGTCACCTTTTATTTAATCACTGGGCCCTTTGCTCCCCTGCAGACACTCCAATAGACCCGGGTGGCATGGGAACTAAGGCCCCACCAGCCAAGGCCTAGTCTGAATCTCAAATGACACCCTATTCCCATTATAGTGCACTACTTTTGACCAGGGCCCATTGAGTTCTGGTTAAAAGTAGTAAACTATATAGGGAACTGGGTGCCATTTGGGACACTGCACGGCTAATAGAGCAGGGTGGCATGGGAACAAAGGCTCCACCAACGACCACCAGCCACCCAGGTCCTAATTAGACAGCCAGGCTGGCCTTTCCTGAGTTTATTGGGAGTTGGATAAAAGCAGAAAGCACATTTCCATCTTGCGTGGACTAATAAAGTTTATCTAAAATCTTATCTTAGTAAAGGCTTGTCTACAGGATCTGCCCCTGCAACATCGGGCCCCTTCCAGAGTGGACAGCACACCCCGACCCCACTACACCCCATGCTAACAGGACAACACCCCAATCAGAAGAGACCAACAGTCCAACAAGACAGCTATGCAGAAGTAGCACGAAGAATAGAGCACCCTGCTGCAGCCGAGCTAAACCAGACAAGGCATCTGCTGAACATAATCTTCTCAAAAATACATTAATTCCTTCTTTGTTATTATTAGAATTATAGAATTATTAGAAATACAACATATTATCATTATGAGTCGAGTTATATACAGTACCAGTCAAAAGTTTGGACACACCTACTCATTCAAGGGTTTTTCTTTATTTTTACTATTTTCTACATTGTAGAATAAAGTGAAGACATCAAAACTATGAAATAACACATATGGAATCATGTAGTAACCAAAAACGTGTTAAACAAATCAAAATATATTTTATATTTGAGATTCTTCAAATAGCCACCCTTTGCCTTGATGACAGCTTTGCACACTCTTGGCATTCTCTCAACCAGCTTCACCTGGAATGCTTTTCCAACAGTCTTGAAGGAGTTCCCACATACGCTGAGCACTTGTTGGCTGCTTTTCCTTCATTCTGCGGTCCGACTCATCCCAAACCATCTCAATTGGGTTGAGGTTGGAGGATTGTGGAGGCCAGGTCATTTGATGCAGCACTCCATCACTCTCCTTCTTGGTCAAATACCCTTTCACAGCCTGGAGGTGTGTTGGGTCATTGTCCTGTTGAAAAACAAATGATAGTCCCACTAAGCCCAAACCAGATGGGATGGCGTATTGCTGCAGAATGCTGTGGTATCCATGATGGATAAGTGTGCTTTGAATTCTAAATAAATAACAGACAGTGTCACCAGCAAAGCACCCCCACACCATAACACCTCCTCCTCCATGCTTTACGGTGGGAAATACACATGCGGAGATCATCCATTCACCCACACCGCGTCACACAAAGACACGGCGGTTGGAACCAAAAATCTCCAATTTGGACTCCAGACCAAAAGGACAAATTTCCACGGTCTAACATCCATTGCTCGTGTTTCTTGGCCCAAGCAAGTCTCTTCTTCTTTTTGGTGTCCTTTAGTAGTGGTTTCTTTGCAGAAATTCGACCATGAAGGCCTGATTCACACAGTCTCCTCTGAACAGTTGATGTTGAGATGTGTCTGTTACTTGAACTCTGTGAAGCATTTATATGGGCTGCAATTTCTGAGGCTGTTAACTCTAATGAACTTATCCTCTGCAGCAGAGGTAACTCTGGGTCTTCCTTTCCTGTGGCGGTCCTCATGAGAGCCAGTTTCATCATAACGCTTGATGGTTTTTGCGACTGCACTTGAAGAAACTTTCAAAGTTCTTGACATTTTCCATATTGACTGACCTTCATGTCTTAAAGTAATGATGGACTGTTGTTTCTCTTTGCTTATTTGAGCTGTTCTTGCCATAATATGGACTTGGTCTTTTACCAAATAGGGCAATCTTCTGTTTATCAACCCCCTACCTTTTCACAACACAACTGATTGGCTCAAACGCATTAAGAAGGAAAGAAATTCCACAAATTAACTTTTAAGAAGGCACACCTGTTAATTGAAATGCATTCCAGGTGACTACCTCATGAAGCTGGTTGAGAGCATGCCAAGAGTGTGCAAAGATGTCATCAAGGCAAAGGGTGGCTATTTGAAGAATCTCAAATATAAAATATATTTTGATTTGTTTAACACTTTTTTGGTTACTACATGATTCCATATGTGTTATTTCATAGTGTTGATGTCTTCACTATTATTCTACAATGTAAAAAATAGTAAAAATAAAGAAAATCCCTTGAATGAGTAGGAGTGTCCAAACTTTTGACTGGTAGTGTATATGCTACCCAGGAAAGGGTTAAATTCCTTTGACCTCATGGCTTGTTTTTTGCTCTGACATGCACTGTCAACTGTTGTGTGCCTTTCCAGGTGTGCCTTTCCAAATCATGTCCAATCAATTGAATTTACCACAGGTGGACTCCAATCAAGTTGTAGAAACATCTCAAGGATGATCAATGGAAACAGGATGCACCTGAGCTCAATTTCAAGTCTCATAGCAAAGGGTCTGAATACTTACGTAAATAAGGTATTTCAGTTTTTTATTTTCAATATATTTGCGACAAAAATTTTAAATCTGTTTTCGCTTTGTCATTCTGTGGTATTGTATGTAGATTGATGAGGGAAAAAACTATTCAATCCATTTTAGAATAAGGCTGTAACATAAAATGTGGAAAAAGTCGGAATACTTTCCGAATGCTCTGTATATGACTAGAATCAGATGAATAAGGCTTTCATTTCTCTTCACGAAGATTGAATGGTTATATATCTGAATAGATAACTGCTATAGCCTACCGTCATTGCGCGCTCACTCTTCTTTCAAACTACCCGTGAGTTCTATTGGCTGCTGTATTTAACATTCAGCAAACAAGAGCTTGCGTCCCTCTTCGAATAGTCTAGTGATATAAGAAATGCTATAAAAAAAACAAATAATGTCCAGCAAGGTATTCTAGTCTAGCTTTTCCTGCTTGGGACTCCAAGAGCTAAGGAGCGTTTTTTAAGGAGAGGCCAGTGGAGCACTGGTGTGTGCATATTGCGCAAGAGACAGAGGCTATAAGTTAGAAGCTTATTATGCATAACACATCATTCATTAGCTAAATATAAGGCTAATACTGCATTGAATGTATTACCTGAAAGAGGTAGGCTAGGACATCTATATATAAAGCTATATATCAATATAGAACAGGATGATCTATTTTGGATGCAATTTGAATGGAGTTGACAGAGAGAGAAAAAGACAAAGAGTGCTCTGATTTAAAGCAACGATATTCGAGTGATAGTTTTAAAACTCTGCAGCTAAAAATAAATAAATAAAATGATTTACAATTAAAAAACAAGGTGACCCCCGAAAGCCAGATGGAGATGGGTAAATTAGACGCGCATTCGGTCTTTATATTGCTGTAGCATAGTCTATGCTGCAGCAAATGTTTGCCTACCTGTCACAAGAAAAAAAGTTCCCATGATGAGATGATAGATCTCCATGCATTGTGAACTGCGCTCCATACTGACATGGGTCTGTCCCCACCCCGAGCGTTGATTCATCATGCAGAAGCCATAGAGAAGCCAGATTTAGACATTGCATTTAATTTAACAGTTCCATTTCACGCCATGTTGTTCATATAAATAATTTATTATAATTTACCAGTTTAATCGCAGTTATTTATCCCGGGAAAAGGGAGTGGTTTTGGGCGGTAAATCTCGGTAACCGGGTTCCCACCTTCAACCCTAATGTGGACCCCAGGAAAAGTAGCTGCTGCATTTGCAGTAGCTAATGGGGATCCTAATAAACTAATCCCTGTGTAGCCTATCACTAAAAAACATATTGTGCCTTTAACTAAGATGACTGGGTTAAAGGTCATGTTGGCAAAGCTCAGATTAACTACCAGTATACATCCCATTTAGGCCTACTCCATCAATTCCACCCCAAAAATAATATTGTATTGGGCTACCAAAAAGAACAACAAGAGCTCTACCTCTACCACCACATGAAAAGCAGGAAAACATTTCATACTGTAAGCTTTACAGAAGTAAAAACCCCATAATGAAAATCACCAGCTTCCATCCAAAACTTGAGAGAAATGAAGATATTTCCATTCTTACCTGCAGGTGCTCAGTAGAGCTGCTGCTCAGCTCGTCTCCAGACTCCGAGTCGTTGCGCCTCTCCGACCACTCTGAGTCAAAGTGCCCCGGGGGCATGTCCACATTCAGGGGCACCCTGCGGAGCTCAGGAGAAGTGGCATGGGCACGGGGCAGCGTGGTACATCCTCGTCCAGTACCATGGGTGTGAGGGTGGGGGTGGGTGTGGTTGTTCTGGATAATGTCGGCCAGGGCCCTGTCGGGGTCTGTGAGGCTACCAGCGTCTCTACCAGGATTCTGGTTGGCGTCCCTGTGCTGGCTCGGAGGGGTGAGGGTAACCCCCGACGAGGAGGAGGGGGAGGGTGACGAGGGAGAGGGCCGGCTGAAACTGGTCACGTTCAGGTTCTCGTTAGAGACGCTTGCCTTGACCAAGAGCGAGTTTCCCCCGCTCCCTCCACCGTGATGCCCCAGGTGCAGGGGCTTGGGAGGGGGCATGAGGGCCTTGCGGACCTCTCTGACGTACTGCGCGGGTATGTAAAACGCCTTGGTCCCCTCCTCTTTTTTGACCTGCCACCAGTCCTCGTTGGTCTTCTTCACCAGCATGTAGCACTCTCCCTGGCGGATGGAGATCTGGCGCTCCTTGGCCTTGTACTCATAATCATACTCCACCTCGATGTACACCTGGCCTGGGGCAATGGGCAGCCCACGCCCCTCTCGCTCTGACGCCATCACGGTGAAATTGCTAGCTGGAGCAGGAGTTCACCACCGCAGGAAACATAGCCTGGCTCTGCATGGCCCACTGTGTAACTGGGGAGGAGGAGAAAACAGGGGAGAGAGATTAGGCCTATGTTATAATAACATTAGTTCACATACACACTAGGGTTGCAGAATTCTGGTAAAAGATTCCTGGAATCAGGAGGGAAATCAGCAAGAGATCCGGAATCGTCCAACTCCAACATTTCTGGTCTTGCATCCTTCGTTTAGACACACTCACACACACACAATATAGAATGGAGGGATGGGATGAGGGAGCATAGACTGAAGACTTTACCTAAGTCTATGTAAACTCAGTAAGAGTTGTGCTCCTAAGAAGCTGCCTGAGAGGTAGATAAGATGACACAAACACTGAAGAGAAGACTGACTCAGTAACCCCATCTACAAGGCTCTATGGAGTTGTACAGTAAGAGTTGTGCTGCTCCTAGCCTGAGGTAGATAAGATTAGAGCAGTGGTATTCAAAGTCGGGGCCCACTAGTGGGGTCGCGGGGGAACTGCAGTGGAGTCGCCAGAAATAAAAATTAATTTCAACAATAACTTTAGAGTACAGATTATTGTATGGGACAATTATAATTTTGTTTTATATTATTGAGTAAATGTATTTATTGGTTTCTTTTCATTTTGATAACCAATGAAAATGTTGTGAATTGAAGGATATTTGTTGAGGTAAAGTATCGAATTGCACAAAAAAAAAAAAGATATACACTACCAGTCAAAAGTTTGGAGATACCTACTCATTCAAGTGTTTTTCTTTATTTTTTACATTGTAGAATAATAGTGAAGACTTCAAAACGATGAAATAACACTGAGGATTCCTGTGGCTGTCCTCATGAGAGCCAGTTTCATCATAGCGCTTGATGGTTTTTAAGACTGCACTTGAAGAAACGTTCAAAGTTCTTGAAAATGTCCGTATTGAATGACCTTCATGTCTTAAGATAATGATGGACTGTCATTTCTCTTTGCTTACTTGAGTTGTTCTTGCCATAATACGGACTTGGTCTTTTACCAAATAGGGCTATCTTCTGTATACCCCCCCCCCCCCCCCCCCCCCCCCCCTCCCCCCAACACCCCTGATTGGCTCAAACACATTAAGAAGGAAATAAATTCCACAAATGAACTTTTAAGAATGCACACCTGTTAATTTAAATGAAGCTGGTTGAGAGAATGCCAAGAGTGTGCAAAGTTGTCATCAAAGCAAAGGGTGGCTATTTGAAGAATCTCAAATATAACATATTTGTTTAACACTTTTTTGGTTACTACATGATTCTATGTGTTATTTCATAGTTTTGATGTCTTCACTATTATCCTACAATGTAAAAAATAGTAAAAATAAAGGAAAAACCCTTGAATGAGTAGGTGTGTCCAAACTTTTGACTGGTACTGTATATATATTTATGGGGTTGCTAGGTAGCGTTTGCTAGCGCTAGTCCACTGTAACTGTGCCAAAACTCCAGTATTTTTCCTATAGCTGTCCTGTTTCTTGTTCTCCATCTTCTTTTTAAATAGTGAGCCAACATGTTTTCAGCACTTTTATTTCCATGACTGATCGAAAGTCCCTCTCTTAGTCTCTCTATATAGTGAGCAATATGTTTGGAACATCAAATCACAATATCGAATCGCAATACATACTGTATAGAATCGTGAGAATTGCAATACATATCGTATTGGCACCTAAGTATCGTGATAATAATGTATCATGAGGTCCCTGGCAATTCCCAGCCCTACTAGCTATGGCAAAGCAAACGTTAGCTGGGCAATTCCATGGTAACAGAATGACGCTGAGAATCAGATTTTTCACCTTAAAAATGTATGCCAAACAAAAAACATTTATTGCAAAGTTAAACAAACCATACTCTATGCACAAGGACTACTTTCAACAGTTGATAGAACATTTTATAAAAACACATTTACTTGAAGAACATTTCAAATGTAAAGGTTTGTAACAGAATGACGGTAAAATAATTTTTTTACGTGACCAGGTTTTCCAAAAACGTACATATGTACTCTGAATTAGATTAAAAGATGTCTGCAGAAAGAATGGGGTGTCCGCTATGATATGACACCTTAAATTTGAAAAAGTATATTTTGGTTATTGAACTACAGTAAGTGAAGTGGATTAACACCTGATAACAGAATGACATCAAGTGTCCCTGATCTATACAATACAGAAATGCATAATTATGGATATGTGATATAGAGAGCTGCACCTGGGGGCCCCGACAGAGATAATTGCGGCGCGGTCAGCATTTTCCATGCAGACTATTTGGAAACGGTTGTCTTTCTGCTTTGTATGCATCAGCCTAGGCCAACCTATTGTATTAAACACACCTTTTCTGCACATTATTCACTCTCTCAGCATTCGCTGCTTCAAGTTCAGTAACCTCCCTCTCCTACATGCGAGATCAAGTGCACCTACATGTGGTCTCAATGAAATAGAGTAGGCTGCCTATGAATGGCCGGAGAATCATGTGGCAGTTATCTTTCCAAGGAAATGTACTTAAATACGATTCAATCAAATGTTATTTGTCACATGCAGCGAATACAACGGGTGTAAACTTTACTGTGAAACGCTTGCTTACGAGCCCTTCCCAACGATGCAGAGTAAAGAAAAAGAAAAGTCACACAAGAGGAATAAAATATACAAGAATGAAGCTATATACAGGGAGTACCAGCACCAGATCAATGTGAAGGGGTACGAGGTATTTGTGGTAGATATGCCCATAAAGGCAGAGTAAAGTGACTAGGCATCAGGATAGATAATCATAAGAGTAAGAATAAAGAACAGAGTAGCAGCAGCATATGATGAGTGTGTATGTGTGTGTGTGTATGTGTTGTGTCGGTATGCGTGTGTGTTATGTGTGTCTGTGCGTATGTAGTGTATGTGAATGTGTGTGGGTTTTGTGTGAGTGTGTCAGTGTAGTGTGTGTGAGTGAGTGTGTATACAGTGCATTCGGAAAGTATTCAGACCCATTGACTTTTTCCACATTTTGTTACATTACAGCCTTATTCTAAAATTGATTAAATTGTTTTTTTCCCTCATCAGTCTACACACAACACCCAATAATGTCAAAGCAAAAACTGGTTTTTAGAAATGTTTGCAAATTTATAAAAAATAAAAAAGACTGAAATATCACATTTACCATGCTTCATAGGGATTGTGCCTGGTTTCCCCCCCAGACGTGACGCTTGGCATTCAGGCCAAAGTGTTCAATCTTGGTTTCATCAGACCACAGAATCTTGTTTCTCATGGTCTGAGAGTCTTTAGGATTCTCTACGCCCTCTGCAAGATTAATCAAGGCTTCAGGGTGGGGACAGACAGCCCATCTCAGTATGGAGAACAGTTCCCAATGCATGTAGTTGCCCTATCATCTAATCATGGTAACTTTTTATCTTGTGACAGGTAGGCCTACATTTGCTGCAGCATAGCCTATACTACAGTAATATAAAGACCGAATGTGCGTCTAATTTACCCATCGCCATCTGGCATTCAGGGGGTCACCTTGTTTTTTAATTGTAAAGATTCATTTATTTATTTTTATTGCAGCTGCAGAGTTTTAAAACCGCCTATCACTCAGATAGCGTTGCTTTAAAATCAGTGCACTCCATTCAAAATGCATCCAAAATAGATAATCCTGTTCTAGATTGATATATAGCCCTATACAGTGAGGGAAAAAAGTATTTGATCCCCTGCTGATTTTGTACGTTTGCCCACTGACAAAGACATGATCAGTCTATAATTTTAAAGTATGTTTATTTGAACAGTGAGAGACATTTTAATGAGGGAAATAAGTATTTGACCCCTCTGCAAAACATGACTTAGTACTTGGTGGCAAAACCCTTGTTGGCAATCACAGAGGTCAGACGTTTCTTGTAGTTGGCCACCAGGTTTGCACACATCTCAGGAGGGATTTTGTCCCACTCCTCTTTGCAGATCTTCTCCAAGTCATTAAGGTTTCGAGGCTGACGTTTGGCAACTCAAACCTTCAGCTCCCTCCAAAGTTTTTCTATGGGATTAAGGTCTGGAGACTGGCTAGGCCACTCCAGGACCTTAATGTGCTTCTTCTTGAACCACTTCTTTGTTGCCTTGGCCGTGTGTTTTGGGTCATTGTCATGCTGGAATACCCATCCATGACCCATTTTCAATGCCCTGGCTGAGGGAAGGAGGTTCTCACCCAAGATTTGACGGTACATGGCCCCGACCATCGTCCCTTTGATGCGGTGAAGTTGTCCTGTCCCCTTAGCAGAAAAACACACCCAAAGCATAATGTTTCCACCTCCATGTTTGACAGTGGGGATGGTGTTCTTGGGGTCATAGGCAGCATTCCTCCTCCTCCAAACACGGCGAGTTGAGTTGATGCCAAAGAACTCGATTTTGGTCTCATCTGACCAAAACACTTTAACCCAGTTCTCCTCTAAATCATTCAGATGATCATTGGCAAACTTCAGACGGCCCTGTATATGTGCTTTCTTGAGCAGGGGGACCTTGCGGGCGCTGCAAGATTTCAGTCCTTCACGTGGTAGTGTGTTACCAATTGTTTTCTTGGTGACTATGGTCCCAGCTGCCTTAAGATCATTGACAAGATCCTCCCGGTGTACTTCTGGGCTGATTCCTCACCGTTCTCATGATCATTGCAACTCCACGAGGTGAGATCTTGCATGGAGCCCCAGGCCGAGGGAGATTGACAGTTATTTTGTGTTTCTTCCATTTGCGAATAATCACACCAACTGTTGTCACCTTCTCACCAAGCTGCTTGGCGATGGTCTTGTAGCCCATTCCAGCCTTGTGTAGGTCTACAATCTTGTCCCTGACATCCTTGGAGAGCTCTTTGGTCTTGGCCATGGTGGAGTTTGGAATCTGATTGATTGATTGCTTCTGTGGACAGGTGTATTTTATACAGGTAACAAACTGAGATTAGGAGCACTCCCTTTAAGAGTGTGCTCCTAATCTCAGCTC